TCGCCAGGCCGTCCAGCTCTTCCAGGGCGACGTGGTGGCGGCCTGGGCACGCTCCGTGCTGCGCCCGCCCGAGGCCTGCGGGCTCTTGCTGGGCCCCCGCTGCGGCCACTGGGACATCCTGGGTGCCTGGAACCTGTCCCTGCCCGCCGCCCCCAAGCCACCAGTGCGTCCCCCCGCGCCGCCACCGCCTGGAGCGCCCACCGCCCGCATCCTGTTCCTCACGGACCTGCACTGGGACCGTCAATACGTGCCGGGCAGTGCCGCTGCCTGCCCTGACCCGCTGTGCTGCCGCGGAGCCCTCCGCGAGGGGCCGGGGGCTGCGGGGTTCTGGGGCACCTACAGCAAGTGTGACCTTCCCCTGCACACCATCGACGCGCTGCTGGCCCAGCTCCCCGGCAGCGCGGGTCACACCGCTAACAGCACCGCTAACGGCACCGCTAACGGCACCGCTAACCCCCAAACCGGCTTCGCGGCAGCCTACTGGACCGGGGACATCCCTGCGCACGATGTGTGGCAGCAGAGCCGCGGGGACCAGCTGCGGGCGCTGCGCACGGTGACGGCCCTGCTGCGAGCTCGCCTTGGGGGGCTGCGCGTCTTCCCAGCCGTGGGCAACCACGAGGCCACACCAGTGAACGCCTTTCCCCCGCCCTACGTGCACGGGAACCAGTCGGCCGCCTGGCTGTACGACGCCATGGCCGAGGCCTGGCAGGACTGGCTGCCCCCCGCCGCCCTGCACACCCTGCGGTGGGCACAGGGCAGGGCTGGGGGTGGAGGCTTCCAGTCTGTTGAGGGTACAGGGATGGGGAGCTTGAGGACTGCAGGGATAGGAGGGCACAGGGATGGGGGTTCTGTGCTACTGGGGGGCTGGGTCTGTGGCACATGGTGTACCAGGGATCAGGGGACACAGGGCTGGGAAGCTCGAGGCTGGGGGGCTCTAGGCTGTCAGGTGTGCTGGGGTAGGGGAGCTGCAGTAGCACAGACTGGGGTCTCAGAGCTGGGGACTCCGGGCTACTGGGGGCTCAGGACTAGCAGCACACAGAGCGGTCTCCATGCTGGAGGAGCAGTGGGGGTACCGGGCTAGCCGGGGCTGGGTGCAGATGTCTCAGTTTTGTGGGGCAGAGAGGTGTAAGAAGGAGGGTCATGGCTGGTTGGGGTAACAAAAAGGGCTGTGGGGTAACAGAGGCTCCAGGCTGGGGGCTGTAGGGGGGGTGGGCAGTGTGGATGGCAGAGTGCTGTGGGTCTGTGGCATGGGTGCAGAGTCTGTGGATCAGGGGATGCAGCACTGACCCCCCTTTTCCACACAGGGCTGGCGGGTTCTACACAGCACAGGTCTGGCCTGGGCTGCGCCTCGTGTCCCTCAACATGAACTTCTGCTCCCAGGCCAACTTCTGGCTCCTCATCAACGCTACTGACCCTGCAGGGCAGCTTCAGTGGCTCATGGGGGTCTTGGCAGATGCTGAACGTGATGGGGAGAAGGTGTGAGGGGGTTCTGGGGGGACATGGGGGGTCCTGGTGCACCCTGAGCAAACCCCCAGCCCTGGCTCCCTGCCCACAGGTGCACATCATCGGGCACATCCCCCCAGCCCACTGCCTGCGCAGCTGGAGCTGGAACTACTACCACATCGTCAACAGGTCAGTGCCTGACCCCCTGCCCAGACTCCCACACCATGTGCCAGACCCCTGACCGTGTGCCCCACCCCACATGCCAAACCCCCATTCTGTGCCCTGGCCTCTAATCCCATGTACTGGGCCCCTGCCATGTCCATGTGCCCTCGACCCCCACACCAAAACCCCCCACACCCCAGAAGCCAGAGCTTGGCTCCACATCCTGAACTCACATCCCACATGTGGTTCCCCTGCCCTACCCAACAGGTCCCTGCCCCATATGCTGGACCCCTATACCAGACCTCCACCCCACACCCTAGACTCTCACCCCATGTGTCATCTCATGCACCAGACTGCCCACCCCGTGTATCCTGGACCCCCAACCCATATACCAGACCCCAGGGCCAGGCTGAGGTCGGGGTTCCAGGGTGAGGGGTCTGGGGGTCGGGATACCACTCGCCACTCACCCCACTGTGGCAGGTTTGAGGGCACCATCGCAGCCCAGTTCTTCGGGCACACACACCTGGATGAGTTCGAGTTGTTCTACGATGAGGAGACGCTGTCACGTCCCGTCTCCATTGCCTTCGTTGCACCAAGTGTCACCACCTACATCAACCTCAATCCTGGTGCGCCCCAAACCCTCGCCACCTGTCCCCCCAAACCCTCTCCACGTGTCCCCCAAACCCCCTGCCACGTGTGCCCCCAAACCCTCTCCACGTGTCCCCCAAACCCCCTGCCACGTGTGCCCCCAAACCCTCTCCACGTGTCCCCCAAACCCCCTGCCACGTGTGCCCCCAAACCCTCTCCACGTGTCCCCCAAACCCCCTGCCACGTGTGCCCCCAAACCCTCTCCACGTGTGCCCCCAAACCCCCGCCACGTGTCCCCCCAAACCCTCACCGTGTGTCCCCCCAAACCCTCTCCACGTGTGCCCCCAAACCCCCGCCACGTGTCCCCCCAAACCCTCACCGTGTGTCCCC